AAAGAAGCAAAGAAAGACAATGTGTTACAAAGATGTATCCAAGGGACGCTGGACCCGATTTCCAGCAGGTGCTGCTCCCCACCAATAGATGGAGCCTCCCCGATGGTGCTACGTGTGTCTGCTCGTATCAGCACACCTAGCATCCGGTCGGGTTGTTCTTTAAAAAAAAAAAAAAAAAAAAAAAAAAAGAAAGAAGGGACCCCACAACTTTAAGTTGGCATTTGGGCCCAATAAGTACTTGCATATTAGAATGGTTTTCTCCTCAAGTGGGACCTTTTTATTTTTCCTTACCCTCCTTTGGGCTTTTTGTTCACTGGTATACCCTTTGTTTGCTAAGCTATCCTATTTTCCCGATTTCACCCTTCACACTACCTACCTACTCCTACGCCTTGGGCACTGGGCCGCAAAATACCGAAATGGCACTCAAAAATAATAAATAGGGGTAACTAGGGTGCAGTCACAAAAGCAGTTTCTAAATGCATTTTTTCAAACTGCCCTTTCGCAGTCCAGTCCGGTCTGAAGTTTACAATGCAGTCGAAACTCCGCTTTGCAGAAAAGTCCCACCGAGGAGTTTGTGACTGCAGTTCAGTTCAGTCAGGCATGTGGTCGTGGTGCGAGATCTGATTCGGAAGATATTGAGATGTCGTCTGCATGGCCGCAATCGTGGACATGGTTGTGTGCCCCTCCCTCTTCATCTGTTGGAAGCCACAGTTGAGCTCTTTACCAGTATATATGCAGTAAGAGCATTTCGGCTTGGGCCTGGCAGGAAGGCCACTATGAAAAGTCCAATTTGAAGGCTCTGTCAATTTGGAAGGTAGCTCTGTGAACTTAAAGACTCGACGTGCAAATGTCGTTTGCATGGCCGCAGTCATCGACATGGTTATGTTTCCCTTCCTCTTCATCTGTTGGAGTTATTTGGCATTAAACCCCACCGGGCCGGTACATGGCCCCAGGCAAGTTGAGAATCCAAAAAAAGAAACCATGCTATGGACGTGATTGCAGCCAGATACAGAATCTGGAGTGAGTGCCACAGTGTGGCCTCAGTGGGGGCTTTACAGAGGCGCGGGCATCACGGCAGCTACTTTCAACGATGAAATACACACAAAAAAGGAACACCCTATGGACGTGATTGCAGGCAGATACAGAATCAGGAGTGTGTGTGTGATTGCAGACAGATACAGAATCAGGAGTGTGTGTGACTCAGGGGCTCGTTAGACACTCCTCGGGCGCGTATATCCCCCGAGGAATTCATCATTCCACTTATCCTCGGGGAAGAATTGGAAAAAAAAAGTGAAAACATTTCCTCGGGGATTCCTTGGGGATTCCTCGGGCTACAGCCATTTCGACTCGTTCCCCAAGGGACCTCCCGAGGTCCCTTAGAGGTCGAGCATCCGGAAGAATCGGGGCGTCTACGGCAGCTCTCTCGACGACAAATTTCGAACTCTGCTGGTCCATTGCTGTTCCTGGCGGCCTGTCGACGGACATCTTCCGTCGGCAACGTTTGGCATCATGGAATTGTCCGCCAATGGTCACCGTTGCCGGCCTGCTGGTCTCCATGACGTCTAGAAGGGGCTGTCTTGCGTCGGTGCCCTTGGCCCTGAGCGGGAAGGCGCCCAACGGTCGGCAGATTCGAATATTTCAGGCGGCCCCCGCTCTCGCGATTGTGCAGTGTCTTCCACGACGGAATACGTTACCCTCCGTTTGTCGTTATTTGCGATCTGTCGTTTGCACCACTGTTCCTCGCTGTTTCCTGGACGTCCACCGTTGAGCTGCTGCCGTCGTCCACGTGCCTTTCATGGCCGACGTCTTTCGGAGGCTGCCGCTGCTGGTGCTGGTCGTCCTCTTGCTCGTCGTTTTAGTTGTCTTCCACGTGTGCATCCTCGGTGGCGTTCCGCGACGTGCACGCAGAAGACGGTCTTCGAAGAAGGACGTCAGGATGGAGGGGCGGCAGGCGATCTGCAGGTCTGCAGGGGAGCAGGGTGGTGGCCAGCAGGCTGGGCAAAGCCCGTCGAGTCGTTCAAGATTGTCGGAGCGGTCTGGGTACGCGCACTTACCACCGCACTTGTAACCTCTGCCGGATACATCCGACGAAAGGGCGGATGAGAGACGGTCACGGACCGTGCCGCTGGGAAGTGGTTCCACCCAGGAGTGGGCGGCTACAGAGCTGTGTGGAAGCCGTGACGACGCGTGTCGGCAGTCGTACACCGAACTCCTCCAGCAGGGGCTCAGCGGTGACGAAGGCGATGGCGGCGTGAATCTATCGTTCGGGCTGTGTAGCGGGAGGTCGTCGGCCACCTCGCGAACGGTCGTCGTTAACCCCCACCCCAACGACGATGGCGGGCAAGTGACGGTGGTTGTGCGGTCATCGAAGTCTTCAGCACCGATTCGGGAGGCGTCGGGGAGCAACAGGGATCCTCCGAGGCAGCAATTCCGGTCGTCGTGTGTGTCAAGGGGTGCCTCCGCTTGCCCCCAGTGGATGCAGTCTTTGTCTCCCTTGTTCGCCGGTTCGAGTGCAGCCCGCTGTCCTGGCGAATGCGAGGAGACGGATTCTGGCTTCCCCACTATTGGTGACGACCGGGACGGGAGGGAGGTGTGGGCAGAACACCAATGGGGGCTCCGGTCGGGGCGCGAAGAATCCATATCTCGGGGGGTGCAACGACTGCGTGTGGGGGAGCCGAAAAACGAAAAGGAGGCACCAGTTCTGGACGCGGACGATCACAGCGACAACGATGACGACATAGAAGGTGGGGAGGAGGACGAAGGCTACGTGTCGCCGTTCTGGCAAGATAGCATGGGAGGCAGGGGCGGGAAGACGAAGGCATCTGCCCACAATGGTCGTCGGGGGAAAAGAGCGGCGGGGAAGGGGAGCGATCCCGAAGGTGACGGTGATGAGGAAGGAGGTCGTCACTTCTGGTCCGTAGCCCTCATAAGGGCTAAACGTGACCAGGATGCGCATCTGTAGGGGATCGGTCACGCCTACGCTCGAATGAAGCCGTGAAAATGGAAGTGGTTAGATGTGGCGCAGAGGTTGAAGAAGGTGGACATCGACAGAGACACAAATAAGTGCGGGAAGAAGTGGGACAATTTGATGCAGCAGTTCAAGACGGTGCATCAGTTCCAAGGCTTGTTCGAGAAACAGGACTTCTTCCAATTCTTTGGGAAGGAGAGGACGTCCAAGGGCTTCAATTTCAACATGGATCGTGCGGTTTACGACGAAATAGTGGGGTCGACCGCCAAGAACCACACCATAAACTGCAAGAACGTCGCTGACACGGGTGTTTCAGGTGGTGTGCGTCTGCCGTCCACCTCTTCTGCAGATCCTGAATCTGTGGGCGATGGGGACGCTGATGCAGGGCACGACGACGACGATGACGGGTCAACGAAAGGTTCTTCTCAAACAATGGGCAGCCCCGACGGTTTCGGCCAGAGGAAGAGCATGAGGCAGCAAATTTTCGAAGCGATGACAGAATACATGAAGAAGCACGGGGCGTTAATGGTGTCCACGATGGAGAGGGTCAGCAAGCGGCGGTGCTTCATCCAAATCCGGCAGTGCGAGGCATTGGAAGCGGAGGTTGAAGTGCAGAAAAAGAACTACGCAGCGTCAGACGAAGTCAGCAAACTGATGTGCCATGCTCTGTTGGAGATAGTGAAGGCCATTCATGAGCGTTAGAGCTCGTGCCGCCTCTGTTGTGCCCATTGTCACTTTCATGGACGTGGACGGCGCGAAAGTGTGAGCCTTTCTGTCATCGTTGTAGCCGTGAGCGGACCGTCGTGCCCGTTCCAGATTGGCCGTGCTGGCCAGGGAAGTGGGTGGTCATCCGATCGGGTGGATGAGTCGTCCTGTGGACATTGATGTTTTCTATTTTTGTTTGTCGTAGGCTTTTGTCGTATGGCAGGACGGATTATTCCGTCATCTCATAGTTTAAATTGGCGTCGATGAAGTGCAGTATGCACTTTCCTTTTTTTAATGACGACTTGGATTTGCTTTGTCTCTCTCCTTTTCTCTCTATCTACTTGTCTTTCTCCCTCTGTCTCTCTCTTTTCGTCTCTTCCCCTCTCCCTCTCTCCCTCCCCCCCCCCCCCTCTCTCTCTCTCTCTCTCTGTCTATCTATCTATTTATCTATCTATCTATCTATCTATCTATCTATCTATCTATCTATCTATCTAGTATCTATCTATCCATCTACAACATGTGTTTTGGTGTCATCTCCCCAAATGAAATGAAAAAATGCAAATGTTTAACAAAGGTGTTGTCTTTAATGCCGTCCTTGTATGGAATGTTGTTGTTGTTCTCGCAAACGAAAATCGCAGTTGGTGAAACCGTGAATACCCTCACTGTCCCCACACAGTCGTCGAAGCAGATGTCCAACTTGTGTTCATTGGAAATCGTCGTTGTGGGGTGGATGTACAACCATTACAATTGGACATTTCGAAATGTATTGTTTTAATTTTTTGCTTATTTCGTGCCGCTGTTGATCCCCGGGTGGGGTGGCGGAGGTTCGTGGCTGGGGGGGGGTGGGGGAGGTTCGTGGCTGGGTACATTCGTGGGCGCGAGGGAGTTTTTTGAAAAGCGCTGGGAACGGGGAGTGTTGTGGGGTCAGGCTTTTGGGGCAAGGGGAGGGGTTCGGGGTGGTGGGTGGTTTGGGGACAGTGGGATCCGGGGAGTGTGGGCGTTCATGTCCATTCGCATGCTGTGGCTTCGCGGTTGTCGTCCTGTCGTGGTGGCGCGCAGGGTCCTTCCCTCTCTTGAATTCAACAAGGGTGGCGAGAAGAAGGGTGGTCGGGTGAAGGATGCACACCCGCCTACCCCGCGACCCTTCACCTTTCGTTTGGCCGTCAGCGATGACCCCTACGACAACATCATATCGACGGAAGGGCGATGGAATTGTCGTTGAATGACTGGATAGTGGTCCTTCCTCGCCGTCCACCCCGCATCACACGTATTTATAAGGCTTGCAAAGTGCACGATTGGACTCCAGACGCCCGGTTTACACTCGCCGTCTTTCCGTCTCGCCTTCTCCTCTCCGCGCTTGCTCTTCTCCGCGGAACAAAGGTAGTCACCGCGGCGGGTTCTCCATCTTCAACGATCCCCGCCTTGCGGCGGGTTCGTCACCTTCTGCGCGCCGTACTGTTCCCACAAGCCGCCGCCTTCTGCGCGCATTCCACACCCCACAACCCGCCGCCAATCGTCGCCATGATCGCCGTCGTCGTCGTCTCCCTCTTCGTCGTCTGTGTCGTCGTCGCCATCGCCTTGGCCGTCGTCGTCGTCTTCGCCGTCTTCACCATCTTTGATTTTTTGTGCATCGCCATCGTCGTCGTCTTCGTTGTCGTCGCTGTCTTCGCCGTCGTCACCGTCTTTGCCGTTGTCGCCGTTGTCGCCATCGTCGTTGTCGTAGTCGTCGCCGCCGTTGTCGTCATCGTCGCCTTGGGGGCCCATCGTCGACATCGTTGCCATCATCACCATCGCCGCCATCACAGTGGAGACTATCTTTCCGAACGCAGGGCACGTTCCGTCATCGCCGCAGAGAGTTCGACTTCACAACTGATCAATCTTGAAGTGTTTAAATTGGCGCCATGTCGTCCCGCGGTATCGGACGCGGCAAGTCCGCCACGAACTAGGCAGTAGAAGCGGCGGTCCGGGAGAAAAAGGGTCGTCACACCATCGACAGGAAGAGGAAGGTCGTCCAAGGCGGGCCTTATGTTGCAAGTTATAACGAAGATGACGAGTGGGTGGGGGAGGGGGTGGCGACGCAGGAGGAGAGCGACTTCCAGGAAGAGGAGGAAATGTCGTTGAAGAGGAGGTCGTTCAAGTGGACGGGTGAAGGCATCCGAATCGAAGAGGGGGGCTATGAGGGTGGTGAAAGACGAGGCGAAGGAGGCCGCGCAGTCGTGGAAGATGCCATCGACGTCAACGCCGCGGCGACATCCAGGGAGGGCGTCGAAGGTGGCGTTGCACAACAAATTCGCGCGCCCGTGCCACGTTTGAATGATGCCCCGACCGTGCATGAGCCTGCTGTCCGCACACGAACACCAGCAACCCTGCGGTCGAGTACGACTGCAGACATTGGCCGCACTTCGCAAGCCATCGGTCAGGGGAACAGGAACCGCTCTCCCGCGCAGGAGGTGCACGGGGCCTTAGCGGGGGGGGGTTCACACGTGGGGGAAGGCGCAAGGGCAGGGGCCTCATCGGGGAGGGCTTCACACGCAGGGAAAGGCGCGAGGGCAGGGGCCGCAACGGGGGTGGCTTCACACGTGGGGCCTGGTGGGGGAAGGCGTGAGGGCAGGCGATTTCGCTGGAGTAGGGGAGGACGACGAAGTGCTCGTGAACGGGGTGCCGCAGCGGAATACATGGGATGGAATGGAGGCGGCGGCGAAGCTGTGGGTGGACGACCTCTGCTTCTGGAACGAAACCCAAGGGAACGCCATAGTGAAGTTGATACAGGAAGCGCGCCTGCATCTTGTGGCAATAGTGCGGGGAGTGCAGCCTCCGCCCGTTCGTCGAAGCATCGTCTTGCCTCATACCACCATCCCGCAGCACAAAATCGAGGATGAAACGGAGTTGAACGCTGCCAAGGAAAGGGTGCTGAAGGTGCAGACCATCGCTTTGTGGGTGATCCACGAGTGCGTCTTCAAGTCGGCAAGCAGGCAACGGGGGTACCAGTGTACCACGCTGCGTACGGGTACGCGGTGAACAACGTTGTCATTGACATCGCTCGAGCCATGTGGTTGGGGGAGGACTGGCATATATGTGTGAGCCCCATGGTCTTCCACACTACTCTGGACATGGACATGAAGTTGCCACTGTGGTTCGCCGGTGCCGATATCGAGGACAGGCACGAGGACGACGAGTTGGCGTTGTATCAGGAGGCGAGCATCCAACAACTGGTAGGGGCTTTCACGAGCGTCGTGAGCATGGCAGAGGGGGTCGACGGCGGGCGGGTGTCCTACGAAAGGTTGGAGGAGCATTGCCAACGCGATGAGGATCATGCTCACAACGACTATGTGGCTCATGCGGATGAGCGGGGACGATCTTCGCGCGCATTACGAAGCGTGGCTTTTCGTCCAACTGACAGCGAAGCTAATGCTCGTCGCATCCATGCATCACTCATTCAACGCACGTCGCCATATCCTGCAATCTGCGACCGTCATCACGAACAAGTTGGCGAGACCCCCTACGACTTTGGTAGACCCTCCGTTGTACATCCCCAACTAGGCGTCTTGCGGCATTAAGTTCTCACATGATGCCAACTTGCCTTTCCCTATGGACGCCAAGAAGCTCGATTGGCTGGGTACAGGCCCCCCGGATGAGGAAGAAGAAAACAAAGCCGATGACGAAGCTGGCGGGGGGGGTTGATGAAGCGTTCATGGCCCCCGTCTTTGATGTGGCCGTCGAAGATTTTCTGGAGTCTTCTAAGACGGGCGAGTAGTGGACACGGCTATCGCAGGGTGGGATAGGGTGGTCTTCGTTTGTCCCAGAGAGACGGTGAGGTGGGATGGGGGGGGCGTCCTGCATGTGCGTGCTCGTGGTGCTTGTTATTTTCTCCCGTGCACTGCTGCTCTGCCATCACTTGCTTGAAGACAGCATACAGAACAACGACTGCTCACACCGGGTCATGTCGAAGTGTACATAGGTGATGGGGAGGGGGGAAATGGTAGACGGGGGAGTGGGGTTGGCGGTGTGCTTGGTTGGGG